CCCAACCTGTGTCTTACAACAAGACACGAGTGTGAAGTTGGATGGGTTTGACTGGTGAAGCTGTGCTCTTTGCAAGTACTTTTCAGTGCTGGTTCCTGCCTAAGACACTCTCTGGAAAGGTTGGCTTTCCAAGTAGGTGCTATTGCTGGTGGTGAGAAACAGCGTGGTAGCAACTAGTCACCTGGTGAAAGGCCATGGCCATGGCAACCACTGGGCTAAGGCGAGTTTATTTTGTTTGTACAGCAGTATGTGGTGTGCTGGGACTCCAGCCTCAAGTCCTAGCCCGTTCTTCTAGAGCTCAGAGGGGCAAAGTTGGTTTGGTTTTGGTTTTGCAAGAGAAGTGGAGTGTATGTCTCTACAAGACCTTATCTAGCTCTTGAACTGAAAGATTTACTTTAAAGTACCTTGCACTGGCACAGAAAATCCTTGGACTTTGCTAAAAGTCTTTGAGAACTGAAGCACTTGGGCTCTAGTGTGTAATGTAATATCCAGAAATCTTTCCAGTGCACGTAATAATAGATAGGAAATCAGGAGTGCCTGCAGCCCCTCCTGGGAAGGCGGCATGTATTTCTAACTCCTGCTGAGCTAGGAGTGTAAATCACACCATGCATAAACATGAGGGTGGTTCCAGGAGAGAACTGAGCCGTGCTTGACATGCCCGAAAGGGAACAGTCCCTTTCCTTTCTTGGGAGCTTCTTTCCTTGGCTGTGGCTGGTTAATTTTGATACTGTTTGGGTGAATATGGTACCTGAACTAGGCGATCTTGAGGAGAGCACCTGGGCGGAGTGAGTGAATGACTCAAACTGTATTCAGCAGTACAAATGTAAAGGAGATTGATTTTTTTTTTTTAATTATGTTTGTTTCGTTATCACGACATGTCCATTAAGTACCTTCTGTTCTTCCATTTGCTTATGGTAGGCGGCTACTCCTGAATAAATTAGGAGAGGCAATAGAGAGAGAGTAGGATTATGTTGGCATGTGATTGTTGACTCACTTTCCAAAGAAAGAATAGGCTCAATTGTATAATCCTTTTTTTTTATAATTCATTCTAGCACATCAATTCACGATGTTACTGTTTTTGTTGCAGCCTGCTAAGTTTGTAGAACAAGTGACTTCTTTGAATGTCGGAGCTGACTTATTTTGCAGGATTGCACAGTAAAAAGTGCTTTTTTTTTTTTTTCAAATGAACTCTGATATTTTGAACACTGCCTATTAGAAAAAGTACTGTCTATACCCACTGTGATGAAACGCTAAGCCAGCCATGAAATTCTTGTGTGTAGGTGTGTGTGTGAGGTGTGTTTCTCCACACCCCCTCCATTCAAACAGTGTGGTCAGAATGCAAATAAAGAGAAATCCTCCCTTCAGAGGGAAGGTGGGGGGTGTGGCTGATGGAATGCTTGCGGGGCTGTACTACCCGATGGCCAGTTGCTACGTTTCAGACTGTATTTAAGACTTTCACGTGCCGTGCTCTCATATTAAGGGTCAAATATTTGGGTGTGAAGCATGGAGTAAACCATGAGGAAACTTCTCCTTCCTCCCCCTTTTGGGTGTTGGTTTTTTTTTTTCCTTTCTCTGCAGCAAGAGAAGCTTTCAGACCTGTAAAAAAAGGAGCCACAAAGAAGAGGGGGCAACGATCGCAAAATTTGCACTCCATAGGACAAGCAACTATGGGGTTATATTTCTGCGAGTGAGTTCTAAATTGGGCACGGGGAGAGTTGAACATTGGGATAAGTTGCAACAGGAGGTGTGAGGAGCTAGTTTTCCAGGCTGTGTAATGATGTTTTGAAGGCAAACATGGCCAGAGTGGTTAAGTAAAACTGGAACAGAGGTAGCAGAGGTAGGACTTGGTGTAACCGCGTTCCTTAGTCTTCTGAGGATTTTTAGTAATTCCTTTGAAAGAAATTGGGGCTGAGGAGGCTCAGGTGGCTAGTGAATAATTCTGACAAGTTTCATCTTTAGAGTAGGCGGAAGCCATGGTCATTTCACTGCAGCAAAACTAAGTTTTGGATTATATTGATGTAAATAAATATTTTTGCTTCCAAATTAAAGTGTTAAACTCCATAATATAATACTGTAGAGATGGTGAGTATTAGGGTTAGAGGTTGTTGGCAATATTAAAACAGTTTCACTACAAATTGGCTGTCATCTCTGTCTCCCCAGTGTCCCAGGTATCCTCAGAGATATCTGAAGTAGTGTGTCTGGTTCTGGGTTCCCCAGTACAGGAGAGAAATGGAGCCACTGGAGAGAGTCCAGAAAGAGGCCACTAAGATGATGAAGGGACTGGAGCATCTCTCCAGTGAAGGAAGGCTGGAGAAGAGAAGGCTCAGGGGATCTCACCAGTGTGTACAAATACCTGAAGCAGAGGGTATAAGGAAGATGAGAGAGGCTCTCTTCAGTGGTGCCCAGTGCCAGAACCAGAGGCAGAGGGTACAAACTGGGACACAGGAGGGTCTGTCTGAACATAAGGAAACGCATTTTTACTGTGAGGGTGATGAACACTGGTAGAGGTTGCCCACAGAGGTTGTGGAGCCCCCCTTCTTGGAGATAATTCAGGATGTGTGTGGATACAGCCCTGGGCAGCCAGCTGTAGGTGTTCCTGCTTGAGCAGTGGGGGTTGGACCAGATGACTTCCGGAGCTCCTTACCAACCTCAGCCAGTCGGTGGAGCTCCTCCAAGTCAGGTTGGTAGCATTTGCAATAGGACTGCTTAAGCACTGACTTCACTAGGAGCTCATATCCCTCCCTTTTTCTGTTTGATGCCATAACTGAAAACTTCATACGTCAGCCCCCTCACTTCCTCTGTTGCTCCAGAATCTGTGAAAGCATATACAAGATCTTCCACTTGAGAAACCTGGTAGGCACAGTGACACGGTTACAGCATTCCCTTTGCAGAACAGGATCTTTACTGTACTCTTCCTTTCCAGGTGGTTGGAGGCAAGGTAAAGAAACCAGGCAAGCGAGGTCGTAAGCCAGCCAAAATAGACTTGAAGGCAAAACTTGAAAGAAGTCGTCAGAGTGCAAGAGAGTGCAGAGCCAGGAAGAAGCTGAGGTACCAGTACCTGGAAGAGCTGGTTTCAAGCAGAGAACGAGCCATCTGCGCGCTCAGAGAAGAACTTGAAATGGTAAGAAATGATCATTTAGCCTAACCCTTGATATTATTTGGGACCTGTCCTCACAGACATTTGTTCTTTAAATCACTGTGACTGGGATTTGGCGAGCCGTAAGGTCTCAAAACATCAGTGACAGATGCATACAGCTGTTTGCCTACTTTGCGTGTTGAATATGACCCTCATGTCACAAGTCATCTGCTGGTTTTGAACTGGAAGCAAGCAAAGAAAGTGCTGCTCCACAGCAGTCTGCTGTCTTTGAAATGTTTGCTTTGGAAAACCTCTGACAGAGGAAGAAAGAGGTAGAGGGTGGGATGAGATGTTTTAAAATACCAAGGGGGAACATATATCCAGTGTGTCGATGCTTTGCCTCTGTTGGGGAGGTTGTTGCAGCATCCTCTCTGTGTAGATGGCTGCACAGCTGTCCTGTGTCCCATCACGTACACTATGGGTGTCTTGGCCAAATAAGCTACGTTAGCTGAAGAGAATGTTTCGTGTGGAAACAACAGACTCAGCTCCTCAGTGCTATTGAGATGGCATTGAAATTTCACTACAGCTGAGGATATTTCCTTGCCCTTGCATCAGGTTAGTTCAGATAGGCAGGGCTAATCACCGCAGGTGACCAGGGATAGGTTTGGGTGGAAAGTCAGCCAACTCGCCACAGGTTTTTCAGTGTGCTTCAGGGCTTGCCAATGAAGAATTTAAGACGACGGAACTGGGAATACGGCACATGTGCTGTAACCGTGCCTTGCACAATCAGAGAGAATCTCTTAATAGTCAATCAGCCCCAGAGTCATGTGAAATATTTGTTTTTAATAGGCCATGAACTGGAACGGTATTCTGGCATGCCAACAGCGAGAAAATGCACAAAGTGTTCCATGTTTTTTAATAATTACAGTATTGTGTCTAGTACTGCCACTGAGTAGCAGTTTATTGACTGAAACAGGATTTACTGGGGCCAGGTATGCAACCATGGACACGTGCTTAGCTCATTAGTGCTCTGCAGTTTTGTAAGAGGCTTCAGCCCAGTAAATTCAAACCTTAAATGAATATACCGGAAGGTAAAGATTACAGCTCTGTTTTGTCTGCTAATGTGATCCTGGCAGTTTGCTAATGCCTAATGTGTTTGCATATTTCAGTACAAGCAGTGGTGCATGGCGATGGACCAAGGGAAAATCCCCTCTGAAATAAAAGCCCTGCTAACGGGAGAGGAGCAAGGCAAAGCACAGCAGAACTCAACCAAACTTGCCAAGGCTGGGAAGACGGAAGCAAACAGCAGCAATCCCTGTGAGTATCCAGCCTGTGATTAATTCCTATTTTGTTACATCTTTTGTGGCGTAGGAGGATGGCTGTGGTGTAGGAAGAAACATAAGGGTGTGCTTTCGGGCACAAATAGTTGATTGAAGCAAAGAGCTTAGTGGGTGCCACAAAGCCTCCTGTGTTGTCCATGTAAACATTACACAGAAATTGCACTAGCTAGGAAGCTGGGCAGTTATTTTAAAAGACGACTCAATCTCTGTGTTTCACCAAGGCCTGTGGAGACCTGTGAAGACCGAAGACCTTAATCTTTTACAGAGTTTTCTGTTTTCCTAACACAAGGTAAATGGAGCACATAAAACGTAATTGAATTTTAAAAACTCCATCAAGAAAACATTATTCTAGCTGCAAGCACTCAAAGGCGAGAAATGCTAGAGCTGGGATTTCCTATGGAGTCTTCTTTCTGCCTCATTTGTGCTTGTCCAGGGAATGAAATAAGGTTCTTTTGGGGACTGAAAGGTGAAAAGATCACGTGATAGAAGGTCATGTTCCTGATACGCACGTGCAAAGGAACAGAGTTAAGGTGTAGCATGGGCAAATCTATATCTCACACCTTCTAATTTTGAAATATTTCATGCTACAGGTTAAATTATGCTTTACTGTACACATTTGAAAAATAGGAGTTTCTAGCTTTATGTTTATAAGAAGCAACATGAAAGCCACGTTTGTAACTGAAACCCCCATGGTGCATCGTTCGCAGGAGGCCCGTGCAGAACCTTCCGCCCTGCAGCAGAGGTAGCTTGTTAGCTAGCAGAAGAATCCTGTTGCCAGAGAAGTGGATGCATCCCCAGGTGTGGGACAAAGGATCCCAGTCCGCTGTCTTCTCTTTGCTCCTTGTGGAGTTCCTAAGCCTGCATCGAGTAGGGTTTTGGAGTAATAGGTGTTTGTGTAAGTGGAGCCTTGCTCTTCCTTTCTCTACGCCACCCTCCTGAAATACAGCTGTGGCAGCGTTTGGGCATTCCCGATAAGAGATGACGGCCGCGTTTGTGTCGGAGCCCAGAATTAGACTGCCTTTGTGGTCAGTAGTTATGTGGTTGGTAACTGGTGTGGGAGTCTGAGAGGTTTTGTAAAATAAAAGCAAGAGGACGACCTTGTCGTAGCTTTGCTGAAGCCAAATGGTGTACTCTAAGTTGAAGAGAAGGAGCTGAATCAAAAGCTGTCAGTAAGAAGGCTTATAGTAATGTAATTTGTAACCTAAAAGATGTCGCTTTCAGCATCCTTTCATAATGCAGCATGTCTTTTGTGTTACTGGGGCTCTGAGAGAGGTTAGAGATGCATTCTCTGTTCTGCCCATGCTTCTTGTGCAGGATGTATTTCCCAGCCCAATACCCGTGATAAGATACTCCAAGCATGTCCTTCCACCTTGCTTCCAGCAGTGGAATCGCCTGCCTTCTCCTCCCACCCCTGGTACCCTGCTGTCTTTTTGTATCTACCTACACTTTTGGGCCTTCTATCTTTCTAGCCTGCAACTTAATCTGAATTCTGGTGTGCTGTTCTGGTTTCCCGGCCAAAGATACTGCCAAGAACTGGTAGCAAGGAAAACAAGTTGCATCAGCTTGGTTTTATGATGAGAGGGGTGATGGCAAGAGTCTCGCGGGCTGATTGACTCATCCCAGATGTTGGCAGATAACCTGCCACTTCTCCTTGGGCCTCTCTTTCTCCTGGGTCTGCTTTTGGCATTTACACGATGCAGCGTGGGAAGTGGGGCTCTTGGGTTTTTCAGTGGGGGTTGTGCTTGTGACGGTGTCATTCTCTGTACTTGATGAAACGCTTGGAATGCTTTTTAGTCTTATGTTCTTTTGCTTCATAGAATAAATATCATGAATGACTTTGCTAGACCGAATGTTGCCTTCTTTTCGTTGAACTAATTGGGTCTGTTTAGCATTATCTCAATTCAGGATTAGTCAAAAGCACTGAAAAATAATGAAGTGCCCTATTTCGGTGTACAGCACGGTTGTTTTCAGAATTCCATTCTGAACATTCATATATTAATCCTTAAAGCATGGTTTTAAGTTTAGTCTCTAAACCCTCCGCACATGTCCTTGGTTAGCAATTGCTGGAAGTGCTGCGTGGGCAGGGAAAACTGTTATGAAAGGTTAAGTAACACTGAAGCAGAGGTGGGGAGCATATGAGGGTCTGTCCCGTGTCCCCCTTCCCCGGCATATTGCAGTTTGTCCTGAAAGACAGGGACAAAGCCAACCCATAAGTTTGGGGATTTTTGACTATGTGTGAATGCGTGTCTGTCCTTTTTCTGGATTCTTTGGAGGAAAAAAAAACCCTAGGCCAGATGTCCAGAACTGTCCTCTGTGAACCCTGCAGTTGGATTTTGTAACGCGATCATGCCAGTAGTTGTAACACAGTATTTTTGGTTAGAATTAGACTCAGTCTAGTTTCAAATGTAGACTGTGTGCTGTAATTAAACATATTTCAAAGGTTATATGTATACTTAAGTGTCTTTCTGAAGGAGGGATGCAGAAAACATGCAGAGGAGTTACGGTATGCGGGACCAGAACAGCTCCACTCCGCACTAGATAATGTGACAAATGCAGCTCTGATCTCACCAGGAATACCCAGCTTATCCTCTTCCTTCCACTCTTTCTTTGTTTCACTTTCTGTGGTACCAAGCAAGAAAATCCTCAGGAGTTAAGTTTTCCTTTATGGAGGAAATTAGGAGTTAGACTTTCTCACTGTGATGAGCAGCAGTTTTCATCTGTTCCTCATCACAGTAACTCCTGCTTCCTGGCTTAGCCAGCAGTTGGCATTACAGGGTTGTGTTTTGGCAAGCCTGGGCCCAGCTCTCTGGCACAAATAGTGGCAGCTATGCCCTAACAGGTTTTCTTGTGCTTCCTGCAGATGGGACAGGAGGCATGTTACAGCCTCCATCATCTTCAGCTGTTTCCGTGTTTGTCCTGCAAGCCCGAGTAAGTGTGACACAGAGTTGGAGGCTCCAACTGTGGTTTTCCAATCTGCTGAAGATGCCGTAGTTCATTATGAAATGTAGGACTCCTAGCAACAGTCATTAATTAGATGAAGTTCTGTGGCTTCCGTAACACGGCAGATCATGCTATGTTATAAATATTCCTACCTTAGGTGGATCTCTGGGAGTCCTCTGTTGTGGAGCTGGAAGTTTAGCAGTTCCCCCTGAAAGCTAGCAGAAATGTTTGTGGTCCATGCTCGTTTCATACTCTGATGCTTACGGTCTTCGACCACGTTGAGGTGGCTCCTGGAATGCAACCAGGTCGTCTGCCTAGGAGTCTCGTATAGCACCCTAAATAACGGAGGGCGGTTTAGTCTTACCCTCTCTTTGTGTAATATGGGTACAGCCTTCCACCCGTTTCTCCTGCAGTGAGTGTGTGCAGCTGGTTCTCTCTCACAAACACTGAAGAAAGGAAATAAGCCTGGAAATGCTTCATTTTCCCACTTGCCATGGAAATCTAATGGTCTGCTAGAACCATTTGCCCAGCTAAAGGTGGGTATCTCTTGGAAACTATCCGCAGTCCTCAGAAACTGCCGTCTGTAGTATTTGGTGTTTATAGCAATGCTGGAACTCTGTTACAGTAGGGTGTAGTAAGAATTCGACTGCTGACGGGGTAAGCACTGCACAGTTACACTAACCCTTTTGGAGATTGTAACCTAGGGGCTTATCAGCTGGTGGAAACTTCTTAAAGAAAACATGCAATAAATCTTGGGGTTTTGTACGCTGTATATGTGCTCTGTGCATAGAATCCTGAAAAATGAACTGTATGCAATTGATTTGTCTGAGAACATTTTGTAATTATGTGTAAAAACCCCAAAAAATCAGTCTGCTTTCATAATCTGATGATAATGTTTGTCAAAAAATCTGTATTCTATTAAGTACTTAGAATAGTACTTTCAAATTTAATTTATATTAGAGGTGTTTGGGGTTTTTTTAATGCATTAGATAAATTTCAAGAAGCTTCTGTCTTTCTTGACAGCTCAGTGCATGACTAGCTTTGGGAGAGTGCCTGTGACTGACTTGTTTTTCCTTTTTTTTTTTTTTTTTTCCCTTTGCATTTTAGGGTGAAGATTAATCTACATCAATAATGAATCTAATTCTTCCCAGCATCCCATGAAAAGATGGAGAAGACTTTGCATCATAGTTCTATTTGCTACTTCCCAAGAAATTATAATCTCTGTAATTAGCTCTAAAAATACTGTTCATGTAAGTACCAAATGTTTGAACCTGCTCTACAAATGTAGAGAAATCAGAGGAAAAGCTGAAATAAGAACCCTAGTTCTTCTTATTATGCTTGGGAGTTACAGCGTGAGTGACGGAGGATGGGCTGCTGTAGGGATCCCTGCCGTAGGTAAGCGAGGCAGGACCCGCCAGCTTGTGAGTCCCCTGCTGTCGGTCCCTCTGAGCATTAATTTCTGTGGTGGTTACGTCCGTAACTGAATTTCTTGTGTGACTCTGTGGATTTGCATGAGAAAACAGAAGCTTCTACTCCGCAGTAGAATCTGAGGTGTCCCGTACTGCATCAGCAGACTAAAATTCAACTAATGCTGTATTTATGGAGTGTATGGATTTGTGTATGTAGATGTAGGATTTGTAGTGTCAGTTATAGGTATTGCCTTAAGCAGCTTCTGCAAAAGCTGTTGCTTGATATTATTTATACCATTATTTGTATTTTCTTTATTTTACCTTAAATTGTAACTAGAAAATGCTGTCACTGTTCAGGTAATGATTTTCAGCAACACTTCATTAAAAATTAATATTTTTTAAAAACCTAAAGAAATTACTTCCACTTTTTTTTTCCCCCCTCATAAAAAGCACTTGAGAGGTGGCAGTTTCGCTTTCAATAACTAGTGCAAGGTTAGCCCCTGTTTCTTCTTGCATCTGCCTGCAACTCAACAGCTGCCTTAAATCAACGTTAATGTTAACTGCTGCTTCCAGCAGTGTGGTGCATGGTCTCTGTGTTCGGGTGGGTAATGGTAACGTTCCTAACTGCTGCAGCCGACAGGCATTCTGCTGACGAAAGAAACCTGTGCGTAAAAGCCAAGAGGATTATAAAAATGTGTGTTTGCATGAGACAGCGTGCGATGAGCATAGAAACAGCTTGCTCTGAATGCTGACTTTTTCCATACCTTCTTTCTGGTTGCAACTTTCAAAGTACATTTCGATCCAGTTAAAACGTGCTGGCGACAGCAATGCTGCGTGTTCCTTTTTCTTTTTTTTTTTCTTTTTTTTTTTTTTTGGGTTAGGGTGGGAAGGGCCCTTAAAGCCCATCCAGTTCCAACCCCCCTGCCATGGGCAGGGACACCTTGCACTAGACCAGGTTGCTCCAAGCCTCATCCAGCCTGGCCTTGGACACTTCCAGGGATGGGGCATCCACAGCTTCTCTGGGCAACCTGTTCCAGTGCCTCCCCACCCTCTCTGGGAAGAATTTCTTCCTGATATCTAATCTAAACCTCCCTGATTTCAATTTATACCCATTACCCCTTGTCCTATCGCTTCCTGTGGTGGAGCATACCAGCAGCGGCCTGCAGCCTCACCATCCCCTTACGTGGCATGCTCCCAGTGCCTGCTGATGTAAGAACAACTCTCTCCCACACCCTCTCAAACATTGATCCTGCCCTGTTGCTAGGTCAGTGTTTTCTGTTTGGCGTTTCTGGGCTTTTTCTTTCCCTTCTCCTAAGCAGTACTTTTATATCTACCACTTCTGGGTATGCATTCCTCTTTCAAAAGTATCTTCTGTGAATCTTCTTTCTTCCCTACGTGGTCTGGCAGCTATTTTCAAAAGCCATCAACGGTTCCTCTTGC